ACATGTTTATATACCTCAAAAGCAGCAAGGCAATTGTAAACATTTTAGGTATGATTCAGATCTTCTATCAGGTTAACATTTGAAAGGGTTTAAAGCAGGGGTGTCAAACTCAAGGCCCGGGGGCCAAATCCAATGCATCTCAAATTAGACTTTTTTCTCAGAATTTGACTCTTTTTTTTAAATGTTACTTTATTTTTGAATGTCACTTCCTTTTTTTTTAATGTCACTAATGTTTTTAGATTTTGACTTTTTTTCCAGCTTTTCTTTTTAAATGATTTTGTGACATTCTCACTGAAGAGACTTGCAATTATTTGCCCCAGACTTATATATATATATAAGTTACAACCGGCCCTTTGAGTGCAGCCATAATGCTGATGTGGCCCGCGATTAAATTGAGTTTGACACCCCTGGTTTAAAGGATCCAGGGATCAAACATTAACCATGTCCATCATGAAGGGATGTTCATGTTTCGTATGGTTTCCCTTGCTTGAGTATTAATTTTCTTATATTTAGCACATTGACTTCGAACAAAGTGTTTCCTGGAACTACTTTGAGGTGTAATAATATTAAGTCCTCCTATTGTCAGTCACTAATTAGCCCTCTAATGACGGCAGTGTCTTCTATCTATCCTCGAGTGTTAAAGCACAGCAACACTTGCCACATCGACCTTTAATTAAATCTTCCAGAGTCCCACACTGCTGTGCTCTCGTGAACGTCACAATATCATCATCACGGCGCAGTAACATGCGATGATATCCGATGCAGATTCACCAAAATGGTTTAATGCTTCAGTTCAACTATTGCCTTAATCTACAGTGTTTTTTAAAGATGGAAAACACGAGCAAAAGAAAGAAGTGATAAGCATGAGCAATTATGAAACATTAGCACTTAGTCACAAAGAATTCAAAACAATTCAGCTTTGGCCAGTGAGACTGTTATTGATTATTTGCCTGTGCATTGGTAAAGCATAAATACGTGTAAACATATGTGTGGCAATAGTGTCTTTTTACAGATTGTCCTTCATATAGTGTAGCATATGTACTTGTCTTTGTTACAAAAACAATTCACAAAAGTGTTGCCTTTTTTCATTTTAGCAGGATGAAATAAACAGAGCCCTAGCAGCGAGCCTCTCTATTGTGCAATCAAATGAGATAGCCGGATGAGTTTCCTTTCACTGAAATTGAAGTCATAGTAGAGTTCAACCATGAATGATTGCCTCTGCTCGGCCCCAGAAGTACGCAGAGATGTGTCTCGATCATTCTTTCACTCTGTCTCCGCGAGCATGAAGACAGACATGTCGCCTTCAGATGCAGCCGACTGTTGTTGTAGCTGCAGGGTCAGCGTGAGGAAACTGCTGTGCACATGATGCACATCTGTAACACAAGGCTGGTTCAACAGGGGTTGGATGTTTGCGCACACATTCCTAACTATCTGTGTATATTAACAACAATGAAAGACTGTGGTGATAATCCTGGAGCGGTTCCATACTGTATATAGAAACATTCCTGGGACTCTATGACAGCAACACACATGTGTTTCACCTTTTCATATTCAATGATGTCCTGCATTCAAATTACATTTCCTTGAATGTAATATTTGGATTGGGTTAATAGTTTTGCCTTTTTAACAAAAGTTTTCCTTCTTTTTTTTTCTGATATCAAACAATAAACAATCAAGGAATAATCTTTATATGCAGCACATCATTTTTTACGTCTATATCTCAAAAATCCTGAAATATTGAAATGTGGTATATTTTGTGGATTTTTCCTGTCTTATCTAGTGAGGGTTTTGTTGTTAACAACCTCTTAAGCACTGGGCCCCCCCAGTAATTTACAGTTTTTTACCATGTTCAATCTGAATTTTCTTTAAAATAAAAAACATCTATATTGATTCTGACTTTTCTACATCCAACTCACAGGTTTATCATTACTTGGAGAACAAATATTATTAATGTAACCCTTTTAGAAGGGAAGATATGGTCATTTGTTCTGGGAATGTCATTTTCGAGCCTGAGAAACAGGCTCAGGGTTGAACAGGTTAATGCTGGCTGCAGTCTTGTGTTGGCTCATAATGTCCTGCTATAAACTAAACCTTTTTTCTTTTTCTTTAAGCAGAAAAGTTACCTGTTCAGTTGGCAGTGTAAGTCACCTTTTTGACCTAAACACACTGGTTCGAAGAGTTTTTGTTCCCTATTGGTTTGCAGCCAGCGATTATGACAAGTGGTGCTCCTTTAATAGCAGCCTTCTGTCAAAACTGTAAAAATGGGTCATGATCACGGTTTAAAAATGACCATATGAATCTCCAAATGTTTGTGACGTTTCAGTTATGAGACTGATTCACAATCAGGTCTGATTGGAGTAGAGTGAGAGCACCCTATAATTGGATTAATAGGGCTGAGTATCCCTCTGAATCATAATGACAGATGTCTGCAATTTGCTGATCTACGTACAGCTGACAACTAAATTGCAGAAGCTTGATACGTTAATGTGCTACCTGAAAATACCTTTTTTGTACAATGTCAATTTGGTTGTATATTCTTAAAAAGCTCACAAATGTTTACATCATTGTCGGCAAGGGACTTTTTACATTTTCATTGAAGAACCAACAGTTCGAAAGAGGAAAATGAAGAACTCATAAAAAGTGATGGTGCAAAACCAGCATAGCAACAGCATCATTTGTTCCTACCTTGTCTGTAAAACATATTTTCCAGTAAGTGCAGACTTTTGTGGTTGAAGTGGACATGTCTGCAGATAAGTGGGTTGTTTTTGGCTCATCACTAATGTAGACTTGGACAAAAGTATTTAGTCTTTTTGTATTTCTTTTCAAGTTTGTAACAACATGTTGCTCTTACAGTACTTTGAACCGCTGTAACAAATATTTTCAGGCGGGAAGATTTTATTTCAGTTAATAAATACATTTAGTTGGCATTATATGATTCTGATAATGTGTTTTATTGTCAGTTCCCTGGTGTGAAACTGTGAAAATGTGTGTGAAAAGGAATAAAGGATGATCAGTAGACCCTTACATCATTTTCCTGAAATACATCCACACAAATGTGCACCCATGTTTGCACAATAGGATGTCTAACCTCCTTGATAAAATGAAGGAATGTCTGAAGACACTTCAGCGGTTTCTTCCGCCTTTGAAAATCCCGGAGAGGAGTAACATCAATATCTCATGAAGAGGGCAATCAGCCAGGACTGACTACCTTTCTCTCTCTGCGGCTCCTTATCCGTGAGACCAATCACATTGTAAATGCACATAATTAAAGCGCTAAAAAAAGGTGACTTTCTGGCACAGAGCCCTCCTTAATCTCTTATCTTTGATTTCCTTTCCTCAATAAGTGTATGTTGACAATGACTGAGGGACATTTTTACCTGAAATGGAAATGTCGTTAATAGGAAATCAACCTTTCAAGTGAGGCACAGTAAAGGGTTGAATAATGATAAATCAGTAGGGAAGTGTTTACATGTAAAGATCTGTTTAAGAAAAGACAGATCTGACGGCATTGTACACACTTTAAGTAATGTAGTCATTAAAACAAGCAGTTTATCATATAACACACAATCGTCTGTAAAAGAAGGAGGGTCTGGGATCATAGGGGAGAGAAAATGAAGCTAAAATAGTATTTTTTTCTCAGCTCCTACAGGATGCAAAGGCCTTGGCATTCAGAATAATTATTTCCTCTTCCCAGTCTGCACCCCTTTGTTTGGCATTTGGTATTGTATTCCGCTTCACACCCCTCACTCTATATTATCCACGTACATCTAGACTTACACTATACTGAGACCAGACAAACACACCTCGGATGCAAATGTACTTCTTATTAATTTCCATTATCGCAATAAATCTTGTCAATTTGCCTGCATTTGCATGTCTGTTTCATGTGCATGTCATGGCCCTCAGGCGGATTTATGAGAAACATATTAAAACATTATCTAAGCAAATAACTTTCCGTGGAGTTTCATGAAAGCTCTTTAAAAGCAATGCTTGTATAAGTATGACACATAAGATTTTCCTATTGTATCCTAAATAAAAAGGACTAAATCATCAGGTTGAGAAATTAGATCATAGATTACGGATACAGTTATTTTGTTATCAATGGAGTCGACAAAATTAAAACATCTTGCATAGATAATGTTTCAGTTAAAAAACAGGTTCCCACATCCCAACGCTCTCATAATCATTATATATTAAAGCTCTGCCCTTTCATCAGATATTTTATGGTGCATCTATACAAATATGGATTTATTGGCACATTATGGGGACCTACAGTATGTACAGTAAGAAGAGGTTGCATCCATTTTTTTTACTTTGTCCATTTGATATTCTGTCTAAATATTTTAGACTGATTGTAAATACAGTTATCATAATCGCCTGGAGGAATTAGAATTCCTGATAGTCGGGTAATCAGGTCCCAACTATCTCTTTTGGTTAGATTATACTGTATTGGTGTTGTGTGTACTATACATGTTTGTATATCTGATGATGTGTACACTGGCCCTAAACACATTGTACCTTCATAACTGAGAAAACAAAATATGATTTCTAATTCTTAGTGGGTGTTTTGACTTGTATTGTATTTGACAGTTAACAGTGTGAGATATCATGGCAGGAAAAAGGGTTTGGATGATGAGTTAGTGAAGTTTTGTGTTTTGCTGCCCTCTTGTGATTAATTCTAGAACATGATGTCTACATTATCGGGTTTTTAAAATGCTTTTTTGATGACCCACACTGTGGTCAAACCAGCCCTGTGAAACCACTTTAATGATATGTATGCCTTTCATACGACACTAGATTATTTTTCTTAGATGCAATGACAAACAAAGTAACAAGTAAACTTTTTTTCTGAGGATCTTTCTTGTTAAATGTAATCCCATTATCATGATCACATGATATTCAACTTGGTATTTTAAGCCATAACTGAAGCAAAAACTCCAGAATTTAAGATGTGTGGATGTGTGGTGCATTTGGAATGGCTTTTCTACACAACCAAAGCATCAAATTAAAACACAAATTCATCTTATTTTATTAACATCTTCTTGACTCAATGAGTCACTCACATTCTTTCAAGATCAAATAAATATCACAACTAAAACCCATACACTAAATCAGACCTTCATTTAACTCCATATACAACTATGCACTGTGTATGAGTTCTCCAGCTGTACATTACCTTATAAAGTCCTGCTTTACCTCTTTTCTGTCTGCTCATTCACAACCATCAACTAATGGTCCATGCTCCTTCAGGTGTTACTCCAGAGGAAGGCTTTATTGTCCAACACACTGGCCAGTTTATGATTAAAGGGTTTGTGAAATTCCCTGAGAAAGTCTCTGGTGGCTGGAAGCATAGGACCCAGGTTCCTGTCGGCTGTCCTCCGGGTGTTAGAGAGGGGCCGTCTGGTGAGCGCTGCCTCCCCCTGCTGCGACAGAGGGCCTGCAGGGAGGATAACAGAGTCCTTAACAATACTGGTGTGAAGGCTTGAGGCAGAGACAACCACATGGAAAAACTGCCTGAAAGATAGAAGGTGCTTTTTGGATACGTACCTACACTCAAGAAATCAAAGACTTTCTTGATTGTCACTTCAAGGTTGGCTGCGTAGTCCTCGAGTCGAAGAACTAGAATCTGCTCTCTGTTGAAAACTGTCAGCCAGTCCAGAAAGAAGATGATGTACATCCCTAAATGTAGCCTCACCTATGGGGGAAAAAGGTAACATTGTGAGTCTCTTGTAGTGAGAACGTTTGGTAAACTGTTGTTTCCAATATCAAAAGTGAACTTCAATATCAAATGGTGAATAAACATAAAAAATGAGTCCTTTAAAGGTGGGGTAGGTACGTTTGAGAAACCGGCACGAGATACACTTTTTGTTATATTCCATGGTATGCTCTTAACATCCCAATAGCAATGAATATCTGAAGTGCTTTGACAAAAGATCCATAAAAAAACGTCATCTGTGGAAGCCGTAGTCCTGTAAAAAGCTTGACCAATCATCTGAGCCGGCCCGGCTAAAATAACTGGANTTTAAAAGATGGTTGAATGCTGATATGCACAGTGATAGGTGTTAAAGACTAACGTTTGTAATAAATACATTTGTATTTATTTTAAGATATTTTCATAGTTCATACAATCATACGTATTGGGATCATTTGTATTAATATGGACCAGAGGGAGAGGGTGACGAGCATAAGTTTCACTTTCATTTTTTATTTCAATTACAACTTTGTTCCTGAAGAATATTCTCTGTTGTTCATAAAGCATAAAGCAACAGCATCAGAGCACGGTGCAGAGTCTCTAGATGAGTCCCTCGTTCCTATTAAACATCCATGTTGTAGTCCGCTGTATAGAAAACTGTAGTTTCCATAGTTTCCCCACAGCACAATGACGTCCGCTGGCGCATCATAAACACGTCGGATAGTGAAAGTGCATTCGGATTCTCTAAAGTACCGCAGTCTCTTCTCCTAAGTCTTTTTGAATTCTCCTATCCACTATCCCTTAACCCCATGACGTTTCACTCAGAGGTCAAGGAATAGGGTTAGAACTTAGGAGCTGATTTTTAAACTATCCGAACGCAACCAAGGACTATTTAAACATGAGCGAAGTGGGAACAGGTGGAAACAATCAGGGGCGGGGCAGACGCTGACGATGGCGGGAAAACACACAAAGGGAGGAAGTAACAGGGCCTGAAAAGAAAGACAAGAGGTAAGTACAAAATAAAACAGGAAATGGGAAAACGAGACATGACATGAAACATGGGGACTTGACTAGAGATGACACAGACATAAATAGACAGACAATATGTGAAGTAACATGAAAACAAGACTCTACATAGAAACCTGACTAGACTTGGAATGACAGACACAAAACAAACAAAACTAACACGATTGACAAGACACCACAATATCTTCCCTGTGACACTTCACCGAGAGCTTAGCAGTGGAAATGTAGATATCCCTGTGCAAATCCTTAAATGACAGTCACTCCTCCTCTCCAAAGTGAAGCTAATCCCCTCCTCTGGCCCGCTGGTCGCTGTCTGCGTCACATCAGCAGCGCCTGATCAACAGCTCAGGTGCTGCTGCTCCACCTGAAGAAAATCCGCTTTTATTCACCAAGTAGGGCTACATACACGGAGAAGCTGCTCTTCAAAGATTTGTTTTTCAATGTTTTATGGTGATGATATTGTGAGAAAACCCTTCAGAGGAATACATAATAGCCACCGGCCAAGAAAATCAAATTATATTATCTTTGGCAGATATTAGGCTTTAAGAAAAATATGATGAAAACCATTTCCACCAATGAATAATAATGAGACTATTTTTTTAAATGAAAATCACATTGTTTATTTTTCTTGATTCTGCATATGAGCGCCTTGATAAGATGCAGTTTGTTTGATTACATATGTAATGTAATCACCATGGTGGTTGTCGTAGGAAAATACTTGAAGAGAAGTGATTGCATTTTTACATTTTAATGATGATATTTTGTACGTTTTGGGCTTATTCTTGCAGATTTGTCATGTTGTATTTAGACGTGTGGGACTTAATCACCGCAAATCTTTAGTCATAGTCAATCAGAAGCACTTTGTGTGGACATGCTTTATTATAACAAAATATTTTAAATAGTTTGGAGGAATTTTAACTGAGGGAGCACTGATTATTTGGTTATTTTTTGGGATCTGACATAAGGAAAGGTGGCCAACTTTAATGTGGCTCGTTGACATTGTTTGGTGGTTTATCACCCATTATCGATTCCTCCAGTTTACAGCTTAAAACCACATTCGATGTTTGATGTAAAAAGCTGACGCTAGGCTATGAAAGAACTACAGGTCACATGACCTCACTTCACCACCGCTAAGCTAAACGCGGCTAACGTCGGGCTATAAAGAAACTACAGCACGGTCACATGACTTCACGTCACCACTGCTAAGCTAAAGGCAGCTAATGTTTGGCTATAAAGGAACTACACGGTCACATGACTTCATGTCACCACCGCTAAGCTAAAGGAGGCTAATGTTGGGCTATAAAGGAACTACAGCACGCTCACATGACTTCACCTCACCACAGCTAAGCCAAAGGCTGCTAATGTTGGGCTATAAAGGAACTAAAGCACGGTCACATGACTTCATGTCACCACCGCTAAGCCAAAGGCTGCTAATGTTGGGCTTTAAAGGAACTACAGCACGGTCACATAACTTCACGTCACCACCGCTAAGCTAAAGGAGGCTAATGTTGGGCTTTAAAGGAACTACAGCACGGTCACATAACTTCACGTCACCACCGCTAAGCTAAAGGAGGCTAATGTTGGGCGTGATGAAGTTTAGTCGTCTCATTTAGACACTTGTTAGCAACCGCCGTTTTTAAATTCACCAGTGGGGTATTTACTGACGTATTCTATACAAAACTTTTATAATCTTCAGCTTGTGTTTGCCACAGACCTTATTTCAGGATAACTACCAAAAACACATTCAGAAGACCCCCTGACTTTGAGACGAGGGAACAGGAAGTGCTAGAATGCTAACTAATTTATTTTTAAGACTCATTCCTGCTGCACCACACTATGATCCACCAATCAGAATCCACTCACAGAAACTGTAGTAATATGCAGAACCTTACCTCTACCCCATGTGCTGCATGATATGGTGCCTGAAACACAGGTAGTAGAAAGAGGTGAGGAGAACACAGCGATGAATTTTAACATGCTATCTGTGAACACAGTACAATGTAGTACATTAATCTTAGGGCAGTGACAGCACCTGGTCCAGCGACCCCTCTCCTCCCCCTCTACTCTCAAACAGTAAATTATTAGGCTACTGTCCGTTGCATAATTACAACTGTGAGTTATTCCAGCCTGCATGCACTTATCCAGCAGACAGCGCTGTCAGAGTGTGTGCGCAGAGAAGATGTCTGCTTAAGAGTAACACTGTGTGGGATGTGCTGGGATCAGATTTCCTAATCAGGCAGCAGCGAGGCAGTGGAGAGAAAAGGGGGGACAGCGAGGAGAGGGGGAGAATGGAAGGATTAAAAGGATACGCTGAAATATGATCAAATATAAGCAAAGAGATGAGATGGAATGGGAGCACGGAGACGAGGAGAAACAGAAGCTTTCTGACAGCAGCTCTTAAAGTAATAAATCAGAAGTCACCCTGCAAGTCCCCTCTATCAGTAGACTTTTCTACATGGGCAAGTTTGCATTGATGGGGGAGCCAAGCATGGAGCCGAGCCGAGAGTCTCATGATGGGATGGCAGGGCTGTGGTTTGTGAGATGACTGATAGCATGAGCTCCCTGAAGCCCTCACGTTACGCCTCAGTGGGCAACTAGCAGGCAGAGCTACAGCTGTGGAGCAAAGGTAGTTCAAAACATACACTGCTCAGGGACGTGCACAGGTACGGGCTATTGTTGCCCGGGCAATGGCCCGTTTGCCCTGACCTTTTTTTTCTTCTGTTGTGGCCGAATCAAAATGATAAGCCCACAATTTGTAGGCTATTGTAGCGTCTCGCTGCGATAAAACACACATTGGCTTGTCAGCGCTCTCATCTGCCGGTGCGTTAAAGACCACCTAGTGTCAGATTTTGGAAAATTGATTTTGAGTTTTCTCATGACAGTTAGAGTATAGGCGACAAACCAGGGGACTTATCTTCCTCTTGACATCGTCTGTTATTTACAGAAAAACACCTAAATATACTTGTTATTGTGCTTCTGTCTTTCTGTGTCTTTTCATCTGTAAACTCCCTCGCCCTCTCTCTCTTCTCTTGATCGCCCTCTCTCAGGAGAACAGTTCACTGTCCCGCTTCATTGGAGGTTTTCTGCCATGTCTCTACTTTAGTTTGACCATCTCTGTTATTAAGTTATGGAATACTAAATAAATAAGTAATTAGATACCGTACCGTTACTGCGCTCATAAAGAATGATAAGAATAAGAAAAATGGGTATTGAACTGGTTTCATTAATTAGTGAGTTTATTTAAGGTAATTAGTTTATTTAAGGTAATAAGCCCTATTTTATCAGTATGTCTGCACAGCAGTTACAATGGTCAAACTACATTAAAACAGAATTGTCCCCATTTTCTCTTTAATAGCTGTAACATTAGATATTTTTAATGAGATATGGACCGCAAAACACGAAATGTCCCTGGTTTTGTTTTTATGAACTACCGAATGCAAGTAGTTGCCTTAGCTTTTTTCTTATGAGATGATAATGTGAATTACTCTTCAAATGAGTTAATGTAAAAATTGTTTGGTTTCTTTTCCATTAAAAACAAGTTCGAATTTTCAAAAGGTCTTATGTTTTTTTCGGGGGGAGGCCCTTTTTCCAGTTTAGAGCAACAGCAAAT